TGTATTCTAAAACATTCTTTGTATTAAAATAAGATCCCAATGTCATAAAATTGCTTCAGAATTTATAAGCCAATATTTTAAATTCCAATTGTCTTTCTATTTTTTTTTTTTGAATTCCTCATCCTTTTAACCAGATACGTATCGGTTTAATACAACCCAGATGCTTTAGTGACTCCAACAAAAACCTGGAATATCCTATTCAAACGTTGGAACCGCATTGATCGCTGTCCTCCCCGATATCCGATTTAACTCTGATTTCTGTACTGCCAAGCATATTTCTTACTGCTTCTCTTTTTTTTTTCTTTCATCTCCCACTTTACACTGCCTACCTTTAGACAGTCACTTTTTCCTGGGTTGCTGTCCTCTCTTTCCATAGTGTTACACTGGATGTCATGCAACTTCTTCCTGGCCCCAGAACTACTTCACTTTGTAATGGCTTTATGACTTCCCCTCTTCAGGGAAATTCTAGAAATCCAAGATGATCAACCATGATCTCTAAACTCATATATTCATATAAAATTCTGGTTCCTTCCTCTACCCTCTTTTCCTCACTCTTTCACACCCAGAGGACTTACACTGGTTATTGGACTTGTCCTTTCTGTGATCTCATTTTTTACGTTTTTTTATTTTTATTTAAAAAAAAAAAAAATGTGTTGTACATGCATGAATCTAAGAAATAAAAAAGAATACAGTTCTACTTGATAGTAATCACACACACACACACATATATATATATATATATAAAACAGCAGAAAAAATATAAGCAAAAAATAAATTTTCCTGGGTCTAGTTCTTTTCTGAATAAAAAAAATAAAATGAAATAAATATAACATCAGTGTTTCCTCTAATCTCAGAGATGAAACAGCCACAGCTAAACTTAAGAGGAGTTTCAAATGCTGTAGATTTCCGATTTTCTCTATCCATCCATCCATACAAATGCTTACTCCTGCCATCACGACAAAAAATATATATATTATAACCGATTTAAAAAAAAAAAAAAAAAACGTAAAAAAATATATTTGGCTGAGTATATTTACTAGGTGAATCAATACACATGGCGTGACTGGCTTAACATTAAAAGTAGGAGCTGTTTTATAATTCTTGACAAAGTCTTTCAAATCTTAAAATTGATAATCATAAAAGCAAACTTTCAAAATTTAAAGTATTATTGGGAAAGTTATAAAAATTTGCAGCTATATTTCTAACTCTATTTATTTTATATATACACTACAGTTCAAAAGTTTGAAGAACCTCCCCCCCCTATTAAGCATGGGATGAACTTGACAGAAGAACTGAAACCTTTCCATCTAAAAATATTAAAAAGAGCTCTTAGAATCATTGAAAAAAGAATGGAATCAATTATCAAACTTATACTTTGAGAAACTTTTGCAACAAATGCCAAAAATTTGTGCAGCAGTAATCAAGGCTAAAGGTGGATATTTTGACCAGAGCAAAATTTAATCATAAAATGCTTTTTTACTTTTTGTCATAATAAAATTTCTAATAAAAAAAATCATGTCTCACTTTTTTTTAACCATGTATAATAATTTTCTCTACTTTTAGGGCCAATTTAAAAAAATTACCAGGGGTCGCCTCAAACATTTGAACTGTAACATATATATGATTGATTGATTATTTTTTACAGCATCTTAACCTTTTGCAGGATATTTAAAGCCAGAAAATATTTTTAGATTAAAAGAATTTGGGGGAAATAATAATGATAGTTCTTGTCTACATTTCACACACATTTTGACTTATAAGTTTTGTAAAATCCTATCTCAGCAAAAGGAAATATTAAACACACAAATTACACAGTTTCATAGGAAAAAAGGGAAGTTCTATGAACATGGAATTGTGGTTTTATGCCATCATTTTTACAGTATGCTATTTAACTTAAATCATGTTATTTGACTCAATATTCATTTAATATAGACTAATTCTTGTATATGAATATACAAGAAATAAATGGCACTTATGGGGGGTATATATATATATATATATATATATATATATATATATATATAATCACTTTAAATGTCATTACTTATATTTGAGTAGACACTCCAGAGAGCACATTAATAAATTAAATAAAATTTCTCGAATATTCAGCCTGGTAGTAGACGAAAATCAATAAATATAATGTTTAATAAATAAATGGAGCTTCTACTCAAATATGAGTATCCACTAAAAATAACATTTAAAGTGATAAGAATCTGTCAAATTGATAAGTAACTTTTTAAAATCATTTCACCCAAAGCAAGGCAGTTAAAACCACTAAAATGCAAAGGGTTACTGAGAGTGAAAGAAACAGAGATGAAAATAAAAGAACATGATTTAAGGAGACAGATGACAATTGACATTGCATTTAAATTTTTCAAAGTTGTAGTTGACAGGAAAGAGAAACTACAAAACCTCCTACAGAAGGTAGCGAGGGAGAGAGAGAAGAAGGGACTAACCACAAACTACAAGAAGACAGAACGCATGGCCATTAGTAAAAGGATGAGCCCAAAATGCAATTTGCAGGTCAGGGACACTAAAATCAAGCATGTGCAGTAGTTTAAATATCTGGGAAGTGTTTTGACGGAGGACAGTAGGTGTGATGCTGAGATCCAGAGATGGATTGGGATGGCCAAGGACACATTCCAAAAGCTGGGCAGAGTACTGTGAAACAAAAGGATTTCTTTGAAAAAAGAAAAAAAGTGCTGAGCTGCTCCATGACATCTGTCCTCCTACACAGCAGTGAATGTTGGGTGGTCTCCAGGCAACAGAGATGTGGTTCTACAGAAGGATGCTAAGGATATCATGGAGTGAGTATGTGAGCAATGATGAAGTCTTGGAGAGGATGGAAACAAGTATGTAGCTTATACTTAACATAAGGAAGAGGCAGATGAAATTTCTGGGACACATAATGAGAAAGGAGGACCTGGAGAATCTGATACTCAGGTTGAATAGAGGGAAAAAGAGACAAGGGAAAGCAATGCATGACTTACCTGGATGGCAGAATGTGGTCTGGGGGGAGTTGACAGAGGCATGAAACTTACAAGGGATAGGAGGAAGTGGAGAGCCACAATTGCCTACGTCCTGAAAGGACACGGTACATAAAAAGAAGAAAAAATTGACAGGAAAGCAAGAAGCCAGAACAGGGTTCCACAAGTGAGAAGTGCGAGAGTAAAAACTATTAGCATAGAAATTAGGGTTTTATCTAGCAATTCCAATAGTGAAATTATGAGACATAGCTTCCAATCTAATACTGCACTTAAATTTGTGAAGTCAAGGTATGAACAAGTAAAGCTCATCAGAATAATTACCATGAAAATAACTATAGAAGAAGCAAAGGGAAATTAAGTTAAAGTGGTGGAAAGTGACTGGAGTTGCGATGCCAGGACAGGATTGGTAACTGTTTGGGATTAGCTTGATTACCATGGTTGATATGTCATAACTATTGTATTTATTGCTTTGTTTTGATTTATTCTTTAAGATGGTCTTGTTGTATTTTGGTATTCATTGCTTCAGTTTTGACTTATTATTTAAATTAATAAGTCAAAACTGAAGCAATAAATACGTATTCATTTTGCTTCCCTTTGTGTTAAATAACAACTATGTCAGTTTCTTAAACAGATTTTAACATTCCATAATTTCTGGAGGTTGATTTTGGCTACAAAGTTTCTTCCAACTTTGAAATACTTCCTTACTTGTTACAATAAAAGCTTATCAATTTTACTTTTCTCTCTGATATTTCTATCAAATTCTGAAAAATTACTTCTATCAGTTATTTCTGTCATTTATCATTTATTTCTATCAAATTCTGAAAAATTACTTCTATCAGTTATTTCTGTCATTTATCATTTATTTCTATCAAATTCTGAAAAATTACTTCTATCAGTTATTTCTGTCATTTATCATTTATTTCTATCAAATTCTGAAAAATTCCATGCTAAAGTTGACATTCTACCTTCTAATTACTCATTGTAGGAACAAAACTTTTCATTCTTAGTTCTGTCATATTGCATCAGCTGTGTGCTTTTTCAGAATTTTTAACTTGAAGCCTTCAAGAAATTTTGCATAATAATTTATACCATCACTATTACTATTTTCAATATTATTAAGTTAAAATGAGTAGAAAAATCAGTAATTTTGATTTCAGATATTCATTACACCAAGAATATAGAAGGAAATTGTTAGAAATCATATTTTATTGAGCTAGCAGAACAATCAGCAACAAAAAATAAATTTTCTTCTAGAAATACATTCTCTATCTGAACAAAAAAGGAAAGAAAATCAAAATAGAAACTGTTCATGATGTTAGAATTTATATAAATTCAGTGATACATTAAATTGCTGCATTAATTTCTGTTTTCTCAAAGAAAAGTGAAACTGAACAAAAGGAATCTAAAAGAAACACTTGTTTTGCTTATAGTTTGAAAAAGCTTTTGTATTTTCCTAATAATTTTTAATTCAATCTTTAAAATTTTATAAAGACATTTCTTCTGAACCAACCTGCATAAATTAAAATAAGAAAAACTTGGTTTATTTAAAGAAATTAAATCTTGTATAATTAATATATATTTTCTTTAGATATCCTTTATGATTGAAAAAGCTAACAGTAATTTTCCATTTTTTTTATTATACATAGTCTTTTATTTATTTATTTTTTTGCAAAGTAATAGAGTAAAATTTGGATTAGTTTAATATTTTCAAATATTTTCTTGTTTTTGAGTGGAATGGATTTTGACTGATTGATTTTTGTTTTTTATTACAGACATTTGCAGGTTATTTAAATCCCAGAAAACATTTTTAGATTAAAAGTTCTTTTGGTAGATAATAAAGATTTACTGATACAAGTTCTATTAATTTATCTATAAGGAAGTAGAGTTGGATTCATACCTTTCACAAGGGCATTTGCATATAAGTGAATATAATGAACCAGACTGGAACTGGAACTCAGCTCTCCAATCTCCAGTTCGCTGCTATTATCTATTATACCACCCACAAATCCAAAATTACAACACCTGGTATTCCCAATCAGTCACTAATCTAGGTACTGACCAGGCTTGACGTTGTTTAACTGCGGTGATCATAAGAGAACTGGTATGCCCTCAGAATGCAATGGAAAAAATTTAACTTTTGAATATATTTCAATATGCTATCTTTTTTATTACTATCTTTTCCAAATTATAGAACATTTCAAAATTTCAGCATCAAAAGTCAATTGAAATAATCCTAAAATACTCCCCTATACATGTCACTACCTTATCTTGAATGTAAATTTGTTTGAATTGCATATAAGGGAATTAAATGAATTCAACTCATCAATTTCAATCTTATTAAGAGTATCAAACCAATGGTTCCTTTCAAAACAGTATCCATGCAAATTTTACTATAGCAAGAAATATTTACAGAATATAAAGATTTCACATTTCAATCATAATGAAACATCATAGTATGAACCAAAGAAAAATATATTCATATCTGTATAAACTTGGCAAAATGAGTTTAATACTAAAAAAAATGTTAAAATCTGATGTATAGTAACTTTTATTTACTTCTTTTATTTATATTTCAGATGATCAGTTTCTGAAAGACTTGAATGGATTTTAAACGTCTGCTTTGCAAAAAATCACATCGGAAAATGTTAGCATCTCTATGTACTCTGCTCTCAATCCTTCACGGATGTTTCAGTGTAGATCTTACCTACTATGTTGAAGAGGGAAAAAGCCCAGGCACGTTTCTGGGGGACATAGCTGCTGACACACATGTCCTTGACACTGTCTTGCCTCAAGATCACCACCTTGTCACCTTCAGCCTATTACAGCAAGGAGTGACTGGAACTTCCCAGTTGTTTCGCGTCTCTAAAAAGACTGGAAATCTATACACAGCTCAAATTCTGGACACGGAGTCCCTTTGCACATATAACACAGAATGCTTCAAAATGGTGGACATTGCAGTGCGGCAAGCTGAGTCATTTGTAAAGATATTAGAAATCAAAGTTATCATAAAAGACGTGAATGATCACCAACCCGAGTTTCCTGACAAACAAGTAAACATCGAGTTTTCAGAAAGAGATGGGAGAGGAGCAAAAATTCTCATCCCCAATGCAATCGATAGAGATGTCGGAATGCTCAATTCTCAGATTAATTATCAGCTGAAAAAAAATAAAGATGAACCATTCACCTTGTCTGTATCCCAGAAATCAGGAGGGACATCAGATCTTGGAATAACATTAGATGAGATGGTAGACAGGGAAGTGAAAGACACCTACTTGATTCAAGTAATTGCTAAAGATGGAGGCTCTCCACCAAAGCAAAGCATTTTAGATGTTCACATTGCTGTCACTGATGTCAATGACAATACTCCAGTCTTTTCACAAAATGTTTATAATGTTTCAATTAAGAATAAACCGAGTGAAATAATCCCAATTGCTATTGTATCGGCCACTGATTTGGATTCAGGGAAAAATGGTAAAATAACTTACCATTTTAGTTTTCAGACATCAAGCAATGTAAAAGCTCATTTCAAATTGAATGAGGTAACTGGCGAAGTTTTCTTAATAAAGAAATTCCACTTAGGAAAGGAACTAGTTTATAAGCTCTATATAAAAGCCACAGATGGCGGTAGTCCGCCTCTTAGTTCCACTGCAAAAGTCCAGGTAAATGTAGTCAACCAACAGAACAATGCTCCTGCTATAGATGTGAACTTTGTTTCTGCATCAAAAGATAACACACTTGAAATTTCTGAGGACATCAAGGTTGGCAGCTTTATTGCCTATGTGAAGGTCACTGATCATGATGGTGGACACAATGGAGATGTCAGATGTGATCTCCATCATGACAAATTTCAGTTGCAAAGCCTTGGCACCAAGAAATACAAAGTAACTCTGAAGAACAGAGTTGACAGAGAAATTCAAGATCACCATGATATATTTATCCGTTGCCAGGACAATGGCTCTCCCCCACTTTATAGTGAGAGCAAATTTTCAATTAAGGTATTGGATGTCAATGATGTACGTCCACAGTTTTCTAAAGAAACATACAAATTTTGGATCTATGAAAATCAAGAGTCTAAAATTGCTGTTGGCACAATCAATGCCTCTGACCCTGATTTGGGATCTGGAGGCAAACTCACTTATTCCCTTTTAACAAATAACAGACAATTCCTACCTTTTCAGATCACAAATGATGGATTAATAACAACAATAATTTCTTTGGATCATGAATTTCAGGATGTATATAAGTTCCAGGTTTTTGTGAAAGATAATGGAATACCTTCTCTGAATAATACAGTGAATGTTATTGTTGAAGTCAGAGATGAAAATGATAATTCACCTTACTTCACATTTCCTAGTGTTAACCCTTTTTCCTTAGATGTTGTCTATTATCCCCACCATACAAGAAACATCACAGTGTTGAAAGCTACTGACAGTGACAGCAGAGAAAATGCTCATCTTAAATATGAGATAACAAAGGGTAATGACAAGCAGTTGTTCACTATCAACCATTACACTGGTTTGCTGGCTTTCAGTCGTGTGGTCAGCCATCAAGATGCTGGTTCTTATGATTTAGAATTTGTTGTTAGGGACAGTGGGACTCCAGTTATGTCAGCCACGACTGTTGTATTTCTGACCCTGACTGTGAGCAACAAGACATCAGAAATGATGAATGCTGTACATATACAGACTAATGACAAAATAAACCTGAATTTGGCAGTCATCATTGTGTTGGTAGCTGTGACTGTGTCTGTAGCCACAACTGCTTCAATGTCAGTTTGTATCCTTCGATGTAACAATGAAAGAAACAACTCCCACCGGGATGAAAGGAGTCTTTCCCAAAGGTACATCAGTGAACAGCGGCATCTGATGTGCCCTTCTTATCAAGGAAGCTCATGGTCAGACTCTCCTGTTGCTGTAGCAACAGACTCTTGTAAATCAAGGAATGCTCATTTGAAAGAATCTGAAAGAAGAGATTCCAACCATGATGATGATTTTGTAGATGGAGAAATTCATCCAACACCACGAAGACAAGGATCAACAGAGAACTCACATCAGGTAAGATTTTTTCTGCATTTGAATCCATTCTTTGATAAGCTAAACAGGTAAGGTCTGGACTAATGTTTTAATTTCTGTGAATGTAAGAATATACAAGATATGGAATAATTTGGAACTGTCTATCCAAATTTGAAGTTTCTTCAAGGAAATTGACAGAATTGTCTCATCAATGAAATTCCTTATCTTTACAAGATCAAGTTGAACAGTTTAGCAAAAAAAAAAAAACAAAAAAAAAAAAAAAAAAAAACTAAAAGTAAAGCAATTTACATCTTTGCTTTCTTTGAACATTTATCTATAACTGGTTTCTTCTTATTTTGGTCACTGTATATTTTTGTCCTCCTTGGGTGTTTGTTTTATTCTTTAAATGTTGAACTTTCTTTTAATAAGATATGTGCATTCTTTCCCAAACACAACATGGTGTCTTTGCATGATTTCAGGATTTAAAATCTAGCATTTCTTTCCTGTTTAATGGATCCCATATATTACTGATATTTATACTTGGCCTGTTGATTCCATGGATTAAGCATAGCATATGTGCTGACTAATTCTTCTTCTTCTTTTATATGCCATGTCCCATTAGGAAGTAGGTGACCATGGCTCTCCACTTCCCCCTATCCCTTGTAGTTTTCAATATGTTTTGTCCTTTTGCTACTTCTCCCAGATCATATTCTATCATCCACTTGCTTAAGCCCATTAGGTATGTCATGCATTGCTTTCCTTTGTCTCTCTTTCCTTCTATCTGCCCTGTAAGTATCAGATTCTCCAAGCCCTCCTTTCTCATTATGTGTCTCAGGCTAACCCACTTCATGTTCTTGCGAGCGAAGTGGCTTGTTAGCATGCAAGTAGGATGAAAAAAAAAAGACCTAACAAAGGGTGTAAGAACTCTCAATCAGTCAACGGCCAGCTAACTACAAGCAGTGTCTCCATAAACCATTGTGAAGAGGGCAACAGGAAACCACTCCACTATTAATCCCAAGAAATATCATGGCTGACTAATTTAACCATCTTATTTTCCAGTTTTGTACCCACCCTCTGTAGGATAAAATCAAAATAATTAACGAGGAGCAACAGAAATAATATATGAAATTTAAGATAATGAGTTTGAGAAGAAAACGGATATGTACTATAAAAGAAAAAAAGTTTGACTTAAAAAATCTAAACACTACCCATCTCCCCAAAATGCTGTGTACAATGTCTGAAACAAAAGACAAGAGAATTAGTTTGAATAAAACCATACAATCTAAATCACCTAAAACCATTTAGACCATTCATATCTTGTTTAAAATTAGTCTTATTAGGTGTATGTGTGCAAACACACACATACATACATACACACATACATACATACACACACACACATATATATATATATATATATATATATATATATATATATAAACAAAATATAAACAAAATTACAGCATAATATTAAAGTTCAGGTAAAATAGTTTATGGATGCACTAATGAAACAAACAGTGCTCAATATCAAAAGCAGGCAGAACTATAATTTGGTAAATGTGAAAACCACAATAAAACCCATTGTAAAATAGTGACTAAAAGTTTCACATGGCAAGTGATTATCAAGCATTATTTACAAGGAGCTCATTTGTTGTAAAGAAAAAGGGAAACTTTCCATCATTATTTTGCAAAAACTTTTATTGCATTCTTAATATTTATTCTCTTTTGCTCATATATATATATATATATATAAAGAAAGGGGATGGATTTTTTAATTTATTACTCCAACAGATTTTATTACTTAAATGTCATTGTTTTTTATTTGAGTAGACACTCCATTTATGTATTAAACAGCATATTTAGAAATCTTATTATAGAAAAATATGTACTCCCAACAGGATTTGATCCTGTGTTCCCCTAGGGGAAACCGTCATTAGATCTAATCTGACCTTGTGGTTACAGAGTGTGTCAATGACCAAGCAAGCTGAATAGTGCCTTTAAATACAAATTTTTCTCTGACTCTTGATATATTTGCTCAGTTTCATAACTTAATGTAATCAAAGCAATCTGTAAAGAAAGAGAAGGATTTTTTTAATTTATTAATCCAATAGTTTTATTATTTAAACATTAGTTATCATTTATTATATCTCAGTAGGCATATAAATAAACAGAGCATCTAATCAAATGTGAGTGTCCACTAAAAATAATATTTAAGTAATATATTATAGGGAGAGTGAGAGAGCCAAAGGAGAATGGATTCCACATTTAATTCTCATGCTTGGTTATTGGGTGGCCAGATTCATGGTAGTGGGCCAAGTCAAGAACTTTCATCACTCCCTAATATGTAAATATATATTATAATTTTAATATTATTTATTATTTTATTGGATACACATGTGTGAATATCAACTAAATAAAATTTAGAGTGATAAGAAATAATGGCAGATTTTAAAAAAATTCATTCTTTAAAATAGTCTTACACAGACCCCATCTTAAGATAAAAAAAAAACAGACAGATAAAAGATGTGTGAATGCACATGCATACAGATATATGTGTGTGAGAAATCATTATTCCGCAAAAAAAATAGACAAACAGTCTATGAGTTGACACTGTGACTTGTGAAAGAAGTTTGCTACACAATCCAACATTGAATACAACATTGTGTACGTATGCACATGAGACATGGATGCACGTATACGCCCAATCCCACACTGTTTGTATATGTTTGTATTTGTATGAGCTGCAATGTGTGAACTTGCGTGTATATATGTCTGCATACGTATGAATGGCATTCCAACAACAATTTTTCCTCCAACTACCATAAAAATACTGATATACACAACCATATATAAATCCAAAAATTTAAAAATTAATCATTTCGTCTGACAATCACAAATATTGTGGAACCCAGGGTTACAAACTCACATCAATCCAAGTAAATATATATATATATATATATATTAGTGATGCAAAACCTGATTTGCTTTCAAGGAGAATATTTGGAATCATTTGATATGAGGTATAATTTGTATTAAATAAAGCATCTGTAGTGAACTGTGCCTATTTATTTTGTATACACATACCCAAAACTGGGCACCTACGATAGTATGATGGTTCAATAAGATTATCTTCCAGAACAGTTTATTAATGCTTGATTCTCACTAAGTGTCCCACTAGAGTAGTGTTTTAGCATACTAAGATAGACTTAACAAGTAACAGAAGGCATTAGCATATAATTATAAATGAGTATGAAGATGAGAAAATGCAGTAGGTATCAACTTTCAATAATTTCTAATTATTTTGGAAATTGATGTTTAACTCTCCTTGGTATATTTTCTCCAGACAAATTTACTATATACAGAATAAATGATGAAAATAAAATCACTGATTCAACTATTTTTCTGAACATGTCAGGCAGTGTCAAATTGCATCAAAACTTACATGAATATATGTATTTGTATTATTTTTCATTAATTTATTTATACATTCATGTGTCTTTGACAGTTTATATTAGGTTCATCCATTTATCAATTCATCCATACTAATCTGAGCTAAAAACTAAATAAAAGGTAAATTAAAAGTAAAATAATATAAAATTTGAAAGGATTTTTCATTCATTTTAGAGTTTGAAAGCTGTGACAAAGGAACTGGAACATTATATGATATGATAGATAAAAAAAAAATCTCATTCCCATTTTTATAATATACTGAAAAAATGATGCATTTCAGTCAGTTTATATATATATATATATATATATATATATATATATATAAAATGAATGATAGGGCATCTACATATTATGTTACTTGAAATATTTATATCAATCAACCTTGTGATTGATAAATAAGTAAACAAATAATAAGTGTGTTTAATAATCAACACGTAAAACAAAACATTATTTTACTTATATGAACTAATGGCTACATAAAAAGAAAACTGAAGTGAAATTGAAATTTCAAAGAATTATCATTCAGTTTAGCATTTAAAGATTTGTGATAAAGCAAGTTGAAAATCATACCCAGCAAGCATCCACCCTCATTAAAAACAAACAACAATGCAAAGCCAATAAATACATTTAGCAGCACATATTATTTACATACCCCACCCCACGACATGAGTTCTGCTTAGTGATACATTTTCCTTTCATATCAGTAATCAGTATTTGAGTAAAGTTAAAAACTAGGCTTTTAAATGCCAATTTTCAAGACAGGCAAACCCTCCCCATTTGAAAGATTAATGGTAAAATTAATTTTCTCTTACCCTATATAATCTTCTGTCAGATTAAGCTAATGTTAGTAAATATCTCAAAGTATTCATATAAACTTTTGGAAAAAATGACTTTTACAAGTAACTGCTAGGGAATACCAGGTACTGTAAGCTTGGATGTATGGGTGGTGTAAGAGATAATGGTTCACAATTGTTGACTGGAGAGCAGAGTTTCAATTCCAGTTGGGTTTATTATATTCATTTACGTACAAATACTCTTGTAAAAGGTATGAATCCACCTCTTCTCCTCCCATTAGTAAGACTTGTATCACTAAACCATTATTATCTCCAAAAAAATTCTTATACTCTAAAAATATTTTCTGGCTTTAAATAACCTGAAAAGAATTGATAAACTGTACAAAAGAAATCAGCCATTTCTGTTAGGTACCTAAGAGTTTATCATTATACCATTATAATATGCTGCTGGGAGATCAACATAGCAGGTATACAATTTTCTATTTGATAGGTATGTGATTTATATGAGTTATTTGATATTTGCCATCATTGCATTCCTGATGACATATTTGCCATTCATTATATTATTATTCTGATAAATGAAAGCCAAACTGTGTTTTTAGAAAGTGATTTTCATAGAAAGGTGGGAGTGCATATAAGTTGAGCACTAACGGTCACCACAGTAGCAACCACAATGTGGAAAACTAAGAAACCATCTACTGACATCAGAGATATTGCAGTTAGTTTTTATTATAAAAGTAAAGTTTACAAAGAAATTAGTAAAGAATTAAAACTTCATCTGTGTACTGTTGGTTCAAT